AAAAAAAAAAAGAAAAGAAAAGAAGCTCCTGTCTTCAACACGTGTTCTTAGCAAAAAAGAACAAGGGTGGAGAAATATATAACAAATACTAAAGCCTAATAATGTCCATGCATTGTCAGCAGGTCTTGAAACAGAATTAATTAGGAAGCTTTGCCTATACTGTCCCAGATAGAAAGAATCAAAAGATTATTCGCACCACTATCTGTTCCAAGGGAATAAAAATATCGATTTTTAACAGAATATCTTATGTCAACAAAAGCTACCTTCTGCATTGCCCTATATCTTGATGCAGGGAGAAGCTTCATGGTCTTCTGAGATGTCACTCCCACCTATTTGAAAACATCAACTCATTACTGAACATCTCAACTCTTACATTTCAAAAAAATTAAGTCATAAGGGCCACAAACTAAACACCTGCAAATTGCTAAAATGACTGATGGGTCACTGAGAAGAAATATGCTGAGGTTAGAATTCTCTCATAGGAATACCCCTCAGAGTGAGTGTGTGTTACATAAGTCCTACTGGAAATGTGTTGAAAATATCTAAACAGTTGAACCCCTACATTCTACACAATATAAAGGCAGTGAATTTATTAAAAATATGTCACCTTGTATAGAAATCCCCGTCCCACTCCTCTATTTTAAATTTCATACCTTTGTGTTCATGCTCTTTAATGCCTCTATCCACAAAGCAAGAACAGCAGCAATTCAGCATTGCCTGGATAATCAAAATAATGTGCCACAACTCTCATATAAAAAGATGAATTGTAAAGACTGTCCATTTGAGACTTGTACTGCTTTGTACTTGCTGACAAGGCTGCTAATTCCTCTAGTTGGGGTACTGGTTTCAGAGATGTTAACACCATCGGTTCCCTGGATAGTTACTTGAGGCAGATAGCAACATGGAAAACAGGTTTAGTATTTCAAAGGCCTGGTCTACACTATGGGGTTAGGTTGAATTTAGCCGCATTAGGTTGATTTAAAAATGACCGCGTCCATACAACCAACCTCGTTCCGTCGACCTAAAGGACTCTTAAAATCGATTTCTGTACTCCTCCCCGACGAGAGGATCACTAAAATCCCCCTGCTGGGTCAAATTTGGGGTAGTGCGGACGCAAATCGATGGTATTGGCCTCCGGGAGCTATCCCAGAGTGCTCCATTGTGATCGCTCTGGACAGCATTTTGAACTCCGATGCACTAGTCAGATACACAGGAAAAGCCCCAGGAACTTTTGAATTTCATTTCCTGTTTGGTCAGCATGGCAAACTCAGTAGCACTGGTGACCATGCAGTCCCCCCAGAATCATAGAGCGCAGAATGTTTCTACGCTCCTTCTATCATCTCCGTCCCTGAGGTTATCGCAGATTAGAAGGCGAAAAAAACCACCACTCGCGATGACATGTTTTCAGAGCTCATGCAGTCCTCCCGCACTGATAGGGCGCAGCTTAATGCGTAGAGCATTCAGTGGCAGAGGCCAGGAAAGAATTAAGTGAGTGCGAAGAGCGGAGGCAGAACGCAATGCTGAGGCTACTGAGGGAGCAAACGGACATGATGAAGCATCTGCTGGAGCTGCAGGAAAGCCAACAAGAGCATAGACCCCTGCTGCATCCAATGTACAAACGCCTACCCTCCTCCCCATGTTCCATAGCCTCCACAGGGAGGGAGGGGGGCCTGAAGACATGTACCCAAAACCACCCGCCACAATGTTTTTGCCCCATCAGGCATTGGGAGCTTAACCCAGAATTCCAATGGGCAGCGGAGACTGCGGGAACTGTGAGATAGCTACCCACAGTGCACCGGTTTGTAAGTCAATGCTAGCCATAGTAGTGAGGACGCACTCTGCCGACTTAATGCGCTTAGGGTGGACATAGGTAATCGACTGCACAAAATCGGTTTCTAAAAATCGACTTCTATGAAATCGACCTAATTTCATAGTGTAGACAAGGCCAAAGACTGCAATATTTAATAATAGATCCAATATTTTTGGTGCTTGTTATCCCAGACATCACTGACTCCCACACTGCAGAGTCCCACAGCTCCAGATCATGTAGCCATACAGATAAATGTGTAGAAACACTATTTAATTTATGATAATAGTATTAGGCCCTGACACTGCACAGATTTAACCAGATGCTTAACTTTACAAAGGTGTGTTGTCCCACTGACTCAGTAAGACTATTCATGTCCATAAAGTGAAACACTCTGTTTGCAGGATTTGGGCCTTTGTATCAAGCAGTTTTAAGTTATACTGGATTTTTTTAAAGGTGCATTATTAACTTGTTTTAGGCCCCAAATTTAGGGTGGCTTTTTGGGGGGAGGGGAGAGGAATGAAAGGTTCATGAAACTTAACACTAATAGAGTTTGCTTTTAATTCTAATGCAAATAGTTTTCTGTTATAAAATAAACATATTTCAACATGCAACCCAGTAGACTAGCCTACCAGATGCTGAGGTAGGAAGAAGGAAAGTGAGAAACAGAGCGAGAGGAAGGAAGAGAGGCTAGTGCCCTGAGCGCTGGACCATCCTAAGATTTAGGAGAGTGAGAGTCACTTCCCTGCTGTGCCACAGACTTCCTGGGTGACCGGGGGGCAAGCCACAGAGCCGCTCCATGCCTCAGTTTCCCCATCTGCCAAGCGGAGCAATCCCTGCCTGGCAGGGGCGTTGTGAGGCCAGATCTAGTAAAACCGGTGATGTCTGGGATAGCGTTTGTCCCGGCTCAGCGAAATACAGCGAAGAAACAGGCGGAAACTGGCCGCAGATGCTATGTAGTTGATAACCAGGCAGGGCTCCTGGGAGCGCAGGGCAGGAGCGGGACTTGGCGGCACAGGAGCCTCTCGCAGACGGCCTCTGTTTATAGACCCGCCACCAGCCCCGCCCGACCCCCGCGCGGCCGCGGCATTACCTGCAAATAATCGACGCGGGCCAGTTGCAGCTCCATGGCACCAGGCTCGGGGGCGACTCCCCCGGCACGGTCCAGGGACTGACCCCACCACCCCCAGCCGGAGGGGCCGCGGTCCCAGCCTCTCTCACCCCACCCGGCGGCCCAGCTCCAACGCAGCCTTCTCCCAGAGACAGCTAATTACCCGTTACCCTGGAAACGCCGAAAGGCCACCTCCCCTACAAGTCGGCCTTCTATTGGACACGCCGGGCGGGGAAGGGGCGGGGTCAGTATTGATCACGCGCAGTGATTGGGCAAAGCGCCGTGGCTTCTCTGCGCGGGCGGCGCGTTTAGGAGCCGTTGCAGGAGAGGGCCGCGCCGGGGGGGCGGGAGATGGAGGCGAGGGTCGGCACAGAGCTGGAGAGCGGCCGGGAGCGGTTGCGCGTCCCCGGTTCTCACCGGCGTTGGGGGCGGCGACGGACGGTGATAGCGCCGGCGGGGTGGGCAGGGCTGCGGCTGTCTGGAGGCAGCGGGGCACCCGGCCTTCCCCTGGGGCGGCGGAGGAGGCTGGGGACTGCGCCAGGGAGCCGAGCTCTCAGCGCCCAGTGACCTCGCTGCTGGTGTCGGTGTAAGGGACGATATTCCCTCACCCTCCTTGTCTCTCTAACTCCGACTGTCTGGGGAGGGGGGAATTGCTACCCAGTTTTCTAAAAGTCTTGAGGGACGTCTCTGCTCTCTGGCGAGGCGGTTCAGGCAACAGAGAGCATCGTGCCTCTCGGCTTTGCAGCGCTCCCACCCAGCCTCCGGTGGGGCTTAAAAGTACCACAGCAGTGAGAGTCCTTGAAGGAGCCTTGCAGGCATCGCGTGCCCCATTGATTAACTGCCATTGCGAGTGGCCATCATGTCTGCAAATCAAGCCCTGGGTTTCTGCGGTTAGTTGGGCCCTCAGAAAATGAGCTGGGCACACAGTTCGGGACTTGCTCGGCATCAGGAAGAAATATATGGGAGAGGCAAAATGCCTCTGGGTGGGCACTGCAGTGCTTTACAGAGCTCCTGTGCTGTGATGCCTACAAGTAAACTGGACAAGGAGGGCTATGTTGCTGGTGTGTTGAAACCACTGGTTACCACGCTGACCAGTGTTGTCTCATTGTTTCCAGTAACTCCCCTGTTGTTCCATCTTGTGTCTTATACAGAACTTAGGTTGTAAGCTCTTTGGGGGCAGGGATCAGCCTTTTGTTTTGTGTTTATACAGCATCTGGCACACTGAGGTTATGCTCCCTGGCTGGGGCTCACAGGCACTACAGTAATACAAATACCAATTTACATTCTGGCTCCTGGCCTGCTCTTCTCCCTCCCACATTCTGCATCCCTCTGTCTTCCAGCTACTCCTTTTCTTCCATGCTGTCAGTGAGGGCTATGAGAACAGAAGGAGAGACAGTCTCTTCACTCTCACCTCTACTGCCCAGCACCATAGTGGCCTCTGCAGCCTAGAAGGGCAATTTTGGGGAGATTCTGCTCAGCCCTAGACTAGACTGTGGTCAGTCACTCTGAGGGAATGGCACATATCATCTAGTTGGTGTACTGCCGCTTTGCACTTGCAGCGCAGACAAAACCTTGGGAGAATTTCACTGCCAGATTCTACCAAACATGCACAAACTGTAATTTTCTGAGACCCGTAGCTTGGCCACATTTGGACAGATTTTAATGGAGAAGCAAAAGGCCCATCCTTGACAGATGGGTAATCCCCTTGCCAAAAATTTCCAGTCTCTCTCCAAAGGAAGGAGGTGCTAGGACTTCTCAGTGAAACAGTTAGAATTTTTTGAGATAATTTTGTCTCAGAAATGGCTTGCTTTTTGCTGAAGTTTCCCCAAAAGGTTCAATCTAAGGTGCACACACATCTGGAATGGAAAATTCCAGCTTGAACATTATAGGTTTGCCAAAGCTTTAAGCAACTGAAAAGTCTTATAATGGAAAATGTTAGGTAATGTTAGCTATAGGTGTTGCTACCAATACTGCCTAAAGCAGCCTTTTACTGCCTTTGACTGATTGTTGTAAAAAGTCTCTGTGTATACCACTGTACACTTCAAAATCTGGTGCTGAACAACTGGGGCAAGTTAGAGTCTGTAAAGTATGAATATTTTATTTAACAAGTAAGCATCAGAGGCATCATTTAGAATAGTGTAACAAAATACCAGCCCTGCACAGAATCTGAATTTTAAAAAAATCCTCTCTACCACAAGAAAGTATAACTTTTGACTGAGTTCACTTTACCTTCAAAAGTTTTTTTTAAAAGGGTTTCTAGTCCCTACTGTTGAAAGCAAACTTTATGCTGCATTAAGAAACAAAGGTATATGTATGTTAAACGGTGCTCCTAAAAACAGCAATTCTCCAACAAAAAAACTTCAAAAACAGACTCCAACGAGAAACTGCAGAATTGGAATTAATTTGCAAACTGGACACCATTAAATTAGGCTTGAATAAAGACTGGGAGTGGATGGGTCATTACACAAAGTAAAAACTATTTCCCCATGCTAATTTTTCCCTTACTGTTACTCACACCTTCTTGTCAGCTGTTTGAAATAGGCCATCCTGATTATCACTACAAAAGTTTTTTTTTCTCCTGCTGATAATAGCCCACCTTAATTGATTAGTCTTGTTACAGTTAGTATGGCAACACCCATTTTTTCATGTTCTCTGTGTATATATATCTTCCCACTGTATTTTCCACTGCATGTATCCGATGAAGTGGGTTTTAGCCCACGAGAGCTTATGCCCAAATAAATTCGTTAGTGTCTAAGGTGCCACAAGTACTCCTCATTTTTTTAGTGCTCCTAAAGTTATAGTCACGCTTTGATATTCATTGTTAAACCTTCAGGTGCCCATTCTGTGAGTTTTTTGGTCGTATTTCTTATTAGAATAATTGAAAAAACATAAATATTTCAAATAATACTTAACTGAGACCCAGCTGACTGCTCCTTATTTATTACATTCTACAGAATCCTGTTCACACCAGTTCCTGCAGGGGACAGGGGCCTTTGCAGTGCCTTTGTGTGTGTGCAAATTGTTTAGTGCAAAGAGTTTTTTAAGTTTGTTCATAAAACAGTCAAAATATCAGCAATGCAAGATTTTTTCACTTTCAGTTGTACTTTCTTATTAAATGCAAAAACTGGTATGAGAGTTCTTACTTTTCAGTACACTTAAATGAACAGAGCATTTTTTGCGTGATGAGTTAATAAAATTTCCTGACTAAATTTAAAGAAAGCTGTACATAAAGTTATTTAGTGCTAAAAATCTACAATATATTTTTCAAGTATAAGATACTCTGAAATATTATTGCCAATATTTGTGCTGAAGAAACTGCCAGGAATCCCAGTAATTCATTGAATCATTCACATCTTGACATATGGGGGTTGAGTTTCTCACTGAGTTTATGTATTAGAATTGCTAACTCTTCTGTTGCTTGGGACTTATCTTCCAAAAGTTCATAGCGAAGACTGGAGATATCTTGTTTGATTTCCTTTAATTCACCTGTATTAATTGTTGAAAGAAATACTTTAGTATTGTTTATTAAATATTAAATAAAGTTTTAAGTCACAACAACACATATTTTAGAATTATCTCCAACCAAAACATTCATCAGAATACCATATGTCTTTCCCTGACCCAATAAACTAACTCTGTACTTCACCTGTATATAGTACATCTATTTTTACATATGTTAACAAATTAATCATAACATCATTGTGAGACTGGTCAATATTATCCTTATTTTATAGAGAAGAAGCATGGATATTTTTAAATGAGTTGCTTGGGTCACACAGGAAAAGAGTGTGGCAAAGCTGGTAATAAGAACACACACATCCTTAGAAAGCAGAAAAAAATCAACCTATTTTAAGGGATGTCAGACTTTGACAAGTATAAACATGGCACTTAAATTAAAATCTTCCTGGTCAAAACACAAATATCAATGCCAGGTTGGTGACAAGCAACAGCGATCTTTATTTCAGGACTTCACGCATAGAACCTTTTTTGAATATTCAAAGTATTCTTCCCACAAACTATGAATGCTGTCAATTTTTATGCAGTACCCTAGGCAGGAAATTGTTTGCCATGTGTGAAGTATGTAGAACTGATCAATGAAATTATTTTTAATTGTTCACTTTATTAATATAACTTCATAAGCAAAGTTTTATGAATGAAACAATATTCATTCATAAAACTGGTTACCCCAATAACTGGCTAATTGAAAAAAGAAAAGGAGTCCTTGTGGCACCTTAGAGACAACAAATTTATTTGAGCATAAGCTTTCGTGAGCTACAGCTCTGATGAAGTGAGCTGTAGCTCACGAAAGCTTATGCTCTAATAAATTTATTAGTCTCTAAGGTGCCACAAGTACTCCTGTTCTTTCTGAAACATGGCTAATTGAGTTTCACTTTCAATCCAATTGCTGCTTAAATTGCTGAAACTTACACTGTTTCAACATTGTAACTTCTGCTCACTGTTTGTCATTCATTATACTTGTCTATATTGTAACTTCTGTTCACTGTTTGCCATTCCTTACACTTGTCCATATTGTAACTCAAACTCCATTTTAAATTGTCCCAAACTCCATTTTAAAATGCTCACTCCATTTTGTAAAAGCTTGCTGCAACCTTCATATTTGCAAAACCCTGCTGTAATCTTACTAGTTTAGTTTAGATGTGTGAATGAGGTATGTCTGGATGATGGAATCAACCTCCAGCCCCAGCCTGTCCTGATGAAATAAAGTGTAAACACCCAAGGGCTGAAGATGCAGACAACAGTCCTGACAAAGTAAGAGGAGTCCACCCTCAAAAGAAAAGAACAAAAGTACAATTGAAGAAACATCAAAGCCAGGTCCTAGGCTGAAAGTCATGTCTGCAATTGACAAGTGATCAATCACACCAAACCTAGAGGCAGCGTGACACTGCAAGACCTATAGATCTATAGGGGGGAGGGATAGCTCAGTGGTTTGAGCATTGGCCTGCTAAACCCAAGGTTGTGAGTTCAATCCTTGAGGGGGCCATTTAGGGATCTGGGGCAAAAATTGGGGATTGGTCCTGCTTTGAGCAAGAGGTTGGACTAGATGACCTCCTGAGGTCCCTTCCAACCCTGATATTCTATGATCCTATGACTCTTGATTCAAACTAAAGCCTACAAAAAGGATGGGTGAGATGGAAGACTTTGAAGGGTAACATTCTGTTGCCAACATGGAAGAGCATCGGTGCATGCCCAACAGAGACCCAGTTCTTCCTTGTGCCTGGCTTTCCTGGACAGTCAGCCATCACAAGCCACGAACTCAAGCTACATTCAGGACTGGTAACTATACAGCAGCTGCAGAACCTCTGTGTGTGTATGAACGAAAGTGTGAATGAATGTGAAACTGAATGAAATGTTGTAGCTATAACTGACTGCCTACTACGATTCTTTCTGTATTCACAATAAATGTGACATTTTGTCTTAATAAGATCCTCCTGGTTTTTATTTTATTGGTATAACAAGTACAGAGTACAAAATAGACCTTTACTGTTCTCTTACAGTGAAATCCTTAGGCTCATATATTTGAAAAAATAATACTTAGCAATCATAAAGGATTCTCCCATAGTGTATAGCACCTTACATTCAATATGTTTTGAAAACCATATTTAATCCGCACAATACCACTGTGAGATAAGTATGATGCAGGGTACATATGATCTCTTTTACTGCTGAAAAATCTGAGGTTCAGAGAAGTCAGCTGACTTGCTCAAGGTCACCAAGGAGAAGCAGTGAAAGATCATAATTTAGGTCTTCTGACTCAGTGTTGTGCTCTCACTGCTTGATGGTACTGCTAACCTGAAATCCAAGTGCAACTACAAGGGACAAAACCCTTCAAAAGACTTGTGCTTTGTCAAGCATTTTGGTGACAGAACAGTTGATACCATCATCTCTATCCTGCTTTGCAAAAGATGTATGTGTAAGTTAAAAATACCAACACCAGAACATAAAGTTTCAAGTTTTTCTGGTACAGTTAAATACTTCTGGGCTTCTGGCCAAAAATGCCAAATTGAACTCTATGCTGTACTCTTCTTTTTTGTACAACCCTTGGTATCATCTAGAAACTCAGCATCCCTGGGATTTGTGTGTCACGTACACTTTCCTTTTTCTATTCTATTCTTAGTCAGAAATGAGTTTAGTACTAATAACACAGATTTCAGAGTGGACAGTTTAGTTACTACAGCCGAACCGTTCTCTTGATTTTGTTTTCTTTTTATTCATATTTTACTGGTTTTCAAATGTACAGAAATTTCTAGTTTACAGTGTATAAAATAAGATTAAGGTATATATTATAATTTAATTTCTTTTCAAGCCTAGATTCATGTTTCAATCAGCTTGACAGCTTTTTGTGGCTGTCACTATTTTGCCAATGCCACAGCACTCAGGAAATGATTCACAGGTTATGGGAGTGAAAAATAAGTTTAGTTAACTTCCGATAGTTTAGAATATGTTTTTATTTACATTTAAGCATATTTAGTATGATAGCCAGGCTTTCGGTGTATAAAGCATCAATTTTTTTCAGAAAGCTATTGCTTAATATTAAAAATACAGTGGCAAACTGCTCTGAAAGAAGGGCCCATTCCGATCAGGCATGGATAGTCCAGTTGATTTCACTGGAATAAATCAAGACTCTAAACCCTATACCTGGCAGAGTTTGCATGAATTAGCCCTAACTGTAGAGATGGGATTGATAGTGACAGTATTAAATAAGATCCATTTTAAATCTAGACATCAGACCATGAGTACTATCATCAACCAGGGCTAACTAATAAATTTAGCATGCAGGATGTTTGTTTTCAAAGATATTTTTCAATATCTTTCTTAAAAGATTTTAATTATTACAGTTTGGCAGTGAAAAAGAACTGCCTTTTTCTTCACACCAACATTTAGGCAATATTCTGAGTGATATTTTTGTCACATGAATTGTTTTGATAGACCTATGTTTGAAGACGTATTGCTGAGCAGTGCAATGCATGTGTGATTTAATATAGACCTCTCTGGCCACTCCGTAACAGATTTAAAGGTGGCAATTTTGCAACAGAAAAGCTTCAAAAACAGACTCCAACGAGAAACTGCAGAGCTTGAATTAATATGCAAACTAGATACCATTAACTTGGGTTTGAATAGAGACTGGGAGTGGCTGGGTCATTACACATATTGAATCTATTTCCCCATGTTAAGTATCCTCACACCTTCTTGTCAACTGTCTAAATGGGCCATCTTGATTATCACTACAAAACTTTTTTTCTCCTGCTGATAATAGCTCATCTTAATTAATTAGCCTCTTACTCCACTTTTTCATGTTCTCCGTATGTATATATATCTTCTTACTATATGTTCCATTCTATGCATCCAATGAAGTGGGCCGTAGCCCACAAAAGCTTATGCTCTAAAAAATTTGTTAGTCTCTAAGATGCCACAAGTACTCCTGTTCTTTTTATAGACCTATATGATTCCCCTCACTGTGTAGCGTGAATGAGTGCAAAACCATGGAAATCCTGCAGAAACTGGGGTGAGAGGGCCATACGGAGGAAAGAAAGCTATGCAGTGCATACTTCTCCATCATACAAACTGCCTGCAGCCTTTGCTTCTACAGGGCAAAAGCTCAGCTCTGTCAGGGCCATCTGGTGAGGGGAGGAGTCAGGGTAACAGCTGCTATGCAGTGTGTTTGCCTCTCAAGTAACCAATGACGTATTTTTCATCATAAATTCTTTTTTCTTTGAGCGTAACTAACTTCCTGCTTCCAGGTCTGCTTCTCCTTGCAGAGAGTTATGGGGTATGTAGTGACTGACTGACAGGCCAAAGCCACTACTGCAAGTTAGAGAGCCATGTTGCCTTGGCTGAAATAGAACTAGGGTCAGAAAAGCTTTCTGAAGCCGACTAAGATTCTTTAAAGGCTGTCCTACCATTTCTCATAGGACTCTGGCCCACACCAGGAACTGTGGCCATTGCCCCTTTCTTTTCCCATCATACAGCTACCACATAGCCATCTTCAGTGTAGATTGGTGGTTCTCCCAGGGCCATGGAATTTTACAGGTGAATGTTCCCTCTTCCAGTACCCTCTTCGAGTTTTATGGAAGAAGGGGAACAAATGGTTCACAGTGTAATACAATACATTGTGTGTTCAGTTGAAATGAAATGAAGAGGAAGGAGGTACTAGACTGTGACATAGGATATCTGAGTTCAATTCCTGGCTCCATCACCGATTTCCTGTGAGATTTTGGGCAAGTTACTTAATCTCTCTGTCCTTCAGTTCCCCAGTCTAGAAAATAGGGATACTACATCCTTTCTCCCATGATTTGTCTGTCTTGACTATTACATTGCAAGTTTTTTGTGGCAAAGACTGTCTCTTGCTATGTATTTGTGCTAAGTTCATCTAGTAGAATTAGATCCTGATCTCAGCTGGGGTTTGTAGGTGTTACTGTAGTACAAATAAATAATAATACTATAGTCCTGCAGAAAAACAATATCTGTTAATGCTGTGTTTACAGTGGCTCTCACCTTCATTCACTTCATCGTTTTCTTTGTCCACTTGTGCTTTCAGAACATAACGTTTTATAAGCCTTTTCATGATTTGCTGTTGGATAAAAAATACATAGTTAAGCATTTAGACAGCCCATGTTCTTTCACTTAAACATCTCACATGCCTGTAAGTGAAATGTTTCACAGCCAAGAAGTCAGCACTTTCTTCATCTTTGCTTTTATTGGTGGGTTAAGTAGACCCAGACATTAAAGTATGATCCCTTCCTTGTCTACATTCCTCTTATATGTAGCCCAGGCCAGCAGGAGCTCTTAACTGGAGTGGTACAAAAGTGCTAACAATATTTTCATAACATTATTGCCCCTTCATTCCAAGCAATTTCACACTCCTGAAATTTTGCTTCTCCATAAAATTCTACAAAATAGCTATTGTTTATATCTAAAACATGTACCAGTCCTCAGCTGATTTTGCTACAAAGCCACATTCACTTGAAAATGGGTCAGTTTTTACTGGAAAAAAATAGCAAAATTTGGCAATGTTTGAGAAAATATGACTACTCTTCACACTTGTAACAAAATATCCAAACCTTCAAATTTAAAATTATTTCCATTACATTATAAATATTGTGCAGACTTCTAGTTCTAACTTCCCTATGTCAGGGACTCAGTATGGTAGGTTAACTGTAGGATTTTCACTCACACCTTCCTTCTCAGTAGATTTTACCTGATCCCTTACTTTCTGTGGTCTCATTCTACTTCCTTGTGCTTTGGCAGGAGCTGTGTCACTGCATACATGCTATGATTTAGAGCAGTGCTTCCCAAGCTATCTGATGTGGGGGACCGTAAATTTTTTTTTCCAATGTGCGCACAGACCGGCAGCCGATGGCTCGCAGACCGACTTTGAGTAGCACTGATTTAGAGGACTTGCTACCTTCCCTGAGGCTATAATAAAGCACCTCTTTACTGATCAGAATGCACCATACAGTATAAGGTTAAATGGAGTGTTGAGAGATGATTTATAAAATCAAACTGGCTATTGTACAAGGCATTAATGCTATAGAAAATTCCCTGTAAATACTGCCTGAAAATACAATACCCAAAATGCACATTCATCTGGTTATTTCATTTTCATCTTATGGTTCAATCAGTGTCCCTTACTCAGGCTTAGGAGCCAATGAGAGAGTTGCCTGAAAAGAACTGCAGGACTTAGTAATAATGACTTCAGCATAGAACATTTCCTGGGGATTAATGACCAGCTGGCATTTGTATTTATATGAACTTCAGGCCATCAATCCCTTCCAGCCAGTCATTAATACCCAGGAAATGCCTAGTTACCTCCATTGTTATTGCTTAAGATTTAAAATGATGGATCCCCATGCAAAGCCTAAGTAATAGGCCTTATACAAGAGACACATCTACACAGTCATCAGGGATGGAATCGGCCCTGAATACCAGCACAGCTCCTCTACAGCCCTTTCCCCACCAGTGATTTTGACTGGTGAAACAACCCAAAATGGATTCAATTGCGACCCCTCCCACTTTGTTCCAACTCCCTTGATATAGCTGTGAAGAACTGTTCTGTTTTTCACTGTACACAGGGTATGGAATTATCCTGTGCAGCCTCTCTGCAGTCGGCTTCCTGCTTCAGCAGAACTGTAGTGGTTTTACTGTGTTTGGAGCCCTCTGTACCTAAACAGGGGAGCAGGTTTTGCCCCTAAATATGTTCCCTCACCCAAAATGATGAGAGCTTCAGCTCCAAAAAAAATTACTGTACAAGGCATGAGCATCCTTTCAGCACAAGACATAAGCATCCTTGGTATCCTTCAGTACCTCGTGAGATGCTCAGGTATCTCACGAGGTACTGAACTCTGATAAGCCACCAACCCCATCCTAAGCACTTTATGTGTGCCTACAGGTCAGCTCTAGATCAAGAGTAAAAAGTATCTGGACATAGGGGCAATCTTTTAAATTGACAAATTTAAATTGGGGGCTGGACTAGATGACCTTCTGGGGTCCCTTCCAACCCTGATATTCTATGATTCTATGATATATGCTTGGATTAATCTACGGGGATTGCTGTTTGAAATTAACTAGCCATAAATTTTTCACTGCGATTGATCTTGACAAGCCTGAATATAGAGAGTGTTGTGACCCTCCTTTAGGATTTGTTTCTTTAGTTTAATGTATGTACCAAATGGGCAAAAACTTCAAACACAACTATTTTAAAAAAATGTTTAAATCCACTGAAGTCAGATCATTCAGAATTAGGACTGATCATCCTGTTTACTAATCCATCCCTTTAACTCATATATGATTGTGCATGGGAAAAGTTTAGAGTTGCAATAGCCCCTAAGTTTTCAGCCTTACCTCTCAATTGTAGGGATTTAATTCCACCCCTTCACAGTAATTTTTTTTGGAGCTGAAGTCACTTTATCATTATCTATGGCAGGGGTTCCCAGATGTTTTCATTGTGTGAGTCACAATTTAACAGGAAGATTGTCTTGTGGTCACCCTCCTGCCCACTCAGATCAAGTGGACCACCACTCCTCACATGCACATGGCATTAGCCATCTCCTCTCCCCTTCATGATTGCATAACATGCCTGTGACGACTACAGCAATTGCTTACAGGGATAAGTAATATTACAGAAAGTATTTAATTAATTTTTATCTGCTTTTATTTCAGTTGGCAGCTGGAAACAAGAAAAAAAAAGTCATCTCAATATGACTAGCTAGCAAATGTTTCCACAAACTACCAGGGATTTATGGACCACAGTGTGGGAACTAAAGCTGGCTGGAAACTGGAATTCCAAATTGGTGATAAATTCTGAAATTTAAAGCAAGCTTTTGTTCTAAAAGAGAACAAAACACAAAGTTTCAAAATTTTCTGCAGAACAGGAAATCCAAAATTTCATTTAGAAAGTCAAAACGACATTTTGATTAGACATTTTTTAAATGTTTCCACGGCTCATTGAGCTCCTCACAATCCTGCCAGCCCACCAAATAATAAATAACTTTTAGTTATTTTTTTTTTTTTAGCACCTTGCTGTCTGTCAGTATCACTCAGTGAGGAAATGTGCTCCACTCTGCTTTTCTACCCTCTGTTTCTCTTCCTTCCTTATTCTCTGTTCTCACTTTCTCTCTCTCTCTGTCTTTGTGAGTCTCCTGTCCTCCGTGCATTTCCTTCCCTGAAGAAACTCTCAGTTCCTGCTTTCCTGTGGGATTCACTCCCACTCCCTTCTCCATTCTATAAACCAAAATGATCAGCAATGAAATAGTTAATGTTAACATTGACATGTCATCATTGGGCTTCAGAGCTGACACTGAGACAGGGGAGTTTACACCTCTACATTATTATGTAAAGCTGTTGGCAGCCTCAGGAAGACAGCACTCTATCAGCTATACTTGGTTCACATTTGGAAGCTCATCTTTGCAACCATGAGGGCTCTGCACAGTCTAAGTATGTCCTTTGACATAAATGTTTTAAGGAGGCAGGATCTGGCCGTTGGGCATATTTTGGACACCCCTACTGCAAGGGCTCCTTTTATGCACTCCTGTTGTTGCCCTGCTCATATCTGAGGCTATGCAAGTTTATTTACTGATATATAGCCTTACCTAACCACAACAGATTAGTGCCCCTTTCACAGGATCTGCTTAGTGTGCAAAAGATTCTCCAATAGGGTCCAGAGCACAAATATTCTTCCCTTTCTGAGCTGGATCGAATAGTCTCTGACAGGCTCCCCATCCTAGCAGAAGGACCCACCCTGTCCCCCACTTCTCTCTTCCCCGCCATCTCCAGGACATTCAAGCATCTCACAGAACATGTAATCAGAAAGAACCTCTAAAGAAAGGAAGAGAAGAGAATATCAACCCAGTGCTCTCCGGATCTTTCCCCAGAAATTTGCTTCTGTCATTTGCTGCACAGGTTGTCAAAATGGCCAGATCAAGGAAAGGCCTGTTGGAGAACTAGTTTTAAATGTTTCAAGTGATGGGGCTTGAAAAACAAGATACAAGTACTTTGCGCACACAGTAGCAGCAACAATATGCTTCTCTGATTGCCGAGAGAATCCTTTTTCGTCTTGGGAAGACTCAGTGTATTTGAAGCACAGAATTCTGTTAGTATCCTCACATTATCACATTGCTCTAAACTAGAGCCCACTGAATTCCTTACCTGATAGCGTGTTGGCTGACTGAGAATGCTGTTAAAACTGTGCGATTCGAAAACCCTTGAGTTAGACTGAGTGACAAGGTTTAACTAGGAAACAATAAAGCCAAATTAGAACATATTCTATGGAATTCACAGGTACTATAACCCAGCTTCATCTTTTTTCCATATGACATAACAGAGGAATATGGCAATAGCGCATCATTTCAGAATATTGTTTTCAGAAAACATTGAAAATAATTTGGGCCCAAACTCAGCAAAGCACCTAAGCATGAGTTTAATTTCAAGTATGTGCTTAAGGCCATCCCTATTCAGCAAAGCACTTAAGCATATACTTCAAAAATGTGCCCAAGTCTCATTGAAGTCAAAGCATGGACTTATGTGTTTTGCTGAATCATGGCCTTGAGGAATAATAATAATAATATATTTGAAAAACAGTTCACCATCAAGTTATTAGTGCAGCAATAAACTATTGTAATAGCTATCAGAGTCCAAATACTTAGAGTTTTATAGCTCTGGAGTAGAAAGAGAAGGGAGAAAGAGCTGTGAAAAGACGGTCTTGTCACTAAACCATAAGGTTGGGGATTAGAAGATCTGAGGCCTCATTTACAGCAGTGGGAATTAGGAGTTACAGCCGTGAAAAACTTGTGGAAGTGCGAGGAAAATCAGCTTCTTGGGATCTATTACTGGCTCTGCCATGAACTTCTTGGGTGACCATTTAAAGTCATTTAAAAGTGACCGCTAAAAAATATAGATACAGATAGATACACACACTCTCTATTTCATTTCTCTGTGATGTATAAAGAAAGCCTGAGTGGTTTTATCATAACAGAAACAATTCTGCTTAATTTTTTTTTTTACATTATACTTTCAGGTTTTACCTATCTTGAGAGACTTTCTGGAGACCGGAGTACTAGTGAAATGAGGACATTACAAGAGACCACAGAGTGAAAGCCCAGTAATTAGGTGGGGAAAGGTTTTTTAGCTAAACTGTTTCAAACTACTTTGGGGATATGTGTGGGGTTTTATTTGTTTATTTATTTACACACACATTTAACTCAGTGCCCAAATAATATAAAGGTAAAGAAATGCCTTTGTTAAAGATTCAACACTCCTAACAGTTCATAACAAACAGAAGTTTTAGGATGTCCTTCAGCAAAAAGCAAAGAACAGACTTGCCATTTCCAATATTTTATAAAGTAAAAAGCAACCAAAATAGATGACTTTTTTTGAAAAAAAAAAAAATGCTTTCAATCCTTCTGTATATATGGTAAACCATCAAAAAAGGCCATGACCCTAATTCATAAAAAAAATCCTTTGAAGGTCACTTTTAACCTCTCTGTGCCCCAGTGCAAAATGGGAACAATAGTTATCTACCTCACAGGAGTGTTTCAAGACTGAATTTATTACTATTTGTGAAGAACATTCAGATGCTATGAGTGTGGGATAATTGTGCCTTTGTTAGGGAAGTGCTAGATATTATTATACCACAGGCACAATTATCCTGCATCCCTGTCAGAAACATAGCTTTTGGCAGTGAAGAAGTTTGGGAAATGGTGTTCTAAATAGCTGGCTAAACTTGCCCCTTCACCTATTCTGGTGATGAAAGGAAAAGTTAGCTTTCCAGATCTTCTAGTCTTTTACCCTTAAAATACATGAAAGTGCACCAGTGGCATCTTTCTGGATAAGGCTGAAGACTTCTTTGTTTATTATTTAGGGCATTTCTTGTGGGATTTATTTTTGTTGTTTGGTAGTTGGCTAGGATTGATGTTTTTGTTGGGTTATTTATGCTTTCAATTATATTTGGTAAAGGGACCTTGCTGCCCTGCAAAAATGTATCATTTTACTTCGCTTTTGTGCTGTGCTTAAAAGGCATCTGGTTACAGCACTTTAAAAATAAAATGCTTGATTAATTATGGTACTATCCTTCACAAGTACAAACTATCCCCTAAGATTTAAAGGAAATCTTAGCAAAGAGCTAGGAGGCAAACAAACACATTTATCCAATGCAATGAAAATTTTTTAAGACCTACCCTAGATTTGGAGTTACTCATCCCTATTTCAGTATCTTTCTGCAGCCTTCTCCTCCTGCACTTAGCAAAGCTGATCATCCTCATGATGAAATAGAAAAAAGACTTGGGGCTTGGTACAAGACTGAATGGTGGAGGTAACGTTTTTCCATCATCGAAGTAAGATAACCAGAGCTTAGAGCGAGCAAACTTCCACTCCACATCACTGTCATCCTGCATTAGAAACAAAAAGACATGTCTACTTTGTTTTACTTAACTTTAGGTTTCATATAATTCAAGACTCTTTCAAAAGGAGTTTACCTTAAATAACTTCTCTTTTTGTTTTATACAGAAATGTGATGAACTTGTTAGGGTGACTGATTCCCAGTAGTTCAACTGAAATGCAGCTGCGTTATCAAGTCTATTTTAACTTAATTCCTGCTGTGTCTGTTTACATGGGCTCTTTTTGGTCATAGTTAGTTGAAGCATGCAAACAGTTTTAAAAAGTGTTATATCTGCAACGAGTGAAAACTGAACTATTAAGGTCCTGCTATTAAAAGAGAAAGTTATTTAATAAAAGCAAGTATCTTCTTCCTTAAATTTAATGCTGAAATGTGGTGCCGTGCAAGTGAGGAAATAATAGTGTTGCCTTTTGGGCAGGCATAGGGTGAGCAGTTAACGTGCAAGCCTTTCCACACAGCCTTGTCTATGAACATTAATTCTGACCTGCTTTTGATGGGTAATCCAGTATCAGTTTTTTTATTGGCATCCATGGGAAGGAATAAGCAGACAGGTTTTGTGCCCAGACTGGTAAAATCTCATGGCAGTTTTGCAAGCCTGACCTAACTGAAATTTGAAGACTTTCTCCAAAGATGAAAAAATAGTTTATTTGTTTCCAGATTAAATTTAATCCTAAGGAATATAAAGTATTTTCAACATGTATTGGAAATGCACATGCAAAACATGTTTTGATTTTTCTCCTTTGATTTTAAATTTTTAAGTCAATTTATTACTCATCAAAAAATGCCAAAATTATAGCCCTGGATACTGCAGCCCTGCATTTACCCACAGAATAGGTACAGAAGAGGGCAAGTTTTCCTATTATATCCTGCCAAGGTGAACTGCAGGGACCTCTAAACTAGTTGTGATGGCATAGTTCGGTCCCCATGGCAGTACATTTGGCCTGTCTGCTGAGATTGCCAGCCAGAGTGTCATTTCCAGTTATGATAGTGGTTTGCATAATTTGGGCTCTTGTCTAGAAAGGGTTGACTGAGATCATCAATTCCATTAAATATAGGTCACTCAACAGCCAGCAGTTGCTAACACCTCTCATGATCTGGGCCATATATATGTGAGTAGAGAGCAGAGAATAGATCCTAAAGTTTGTGATGTTTCAATCACATTTTGTACAGAGTAAATCATCTTAGAATTTCCCAAGAAAATGATTTGCATGTAATTTTTACGTACTTTCTGATATCACAAAAGCAAGCTGAAATTCTGCTAAAACTGTTTTTGTAAGGCCACAGATTGATTGGCATCATAAATATACTTTTGTCTTTGTAAGCAATCTGGATTTGACTTTTAAAACCAGTAGTCTTCACCAGTTTGGGTGTGTCTTTCTTTCCTTCCTTTTATTGCACAGTATTTGAATGGTAAGCACCTAAATTGAATTAATTAAATTCTGAAATGAAGTTATTGCTGTCCCAGTGAACCCCAAATAAAGCACCTCTCTTACAGATGAAATAGCTATTCATAATTTTGAGAACTCATCCTAAACTGCAGGCATTAAAAATCTCCCACTCTGCAGGTGTGCGTGAGTGCAGCCATGAAGTTTTCAGGGCACATGGCAATGTGAAGCTAAGATTAGAATCAAGTTTTAAATATTGTACTGAAAGCAGAAAAAGGATACTTACACTTCAGACTGAATAATTAAGCTTGAAACAGCTGTTAAATGTGATTTAGTCATCAGAACACTCTCACACAAAAATCTTTGCTTATGTCTATGCACTAGCACAGTGCGTAAACCTAAGAAAGTGTATGTATTAATGAAGCTGAAGTATCTAACACATCTATGTTTAGTTAAAAGGTTTGGGGAAAATGGACTAGCGAGCCAATTATCTTTATGGACTACAGTAAAAGCCATTTAACCAGCAGTGAGGGCCTGTCCACCCAGTAAAATGTACTGTGTTCAGGAAAAGGTGTTATGAAATGTTTAAAAAGTAAGAATTAGGGAATCAACTAGCCATGTGCTCAAATTGTCTGCTCAATAGCTTTGCTGTCTATTGTATCCCATCCTTCATTTGAAAGTTTGTTTAAGTTGTAAGTTTTTTGGGACAGACCATTACTGATTGTACAGTGCTTACCATACTCTCATGTCTGTATAAAGGCAATGAGCTATACTATCTGTCCAGATCCTGGGAGGTCCCAAACAGCTTGGCTGATTTGCCAGGGAGAGCCAAACCTTCAACCCAGTTTTTCTGCCATGTCTTCAGGGCAGAGAACCAGATTGGCAGGTATTAAATGGCTGTAGAACAAATGCAGTAGGGGATCATTAAGCTACAGTACTCAGCTGCCAACCATAGAAAGAAGGAATAGGGGGATTCTGATTGGAATTGCATTCACACTTGCATTGTCACTGGGACTGCTTCCATCCAGAAAAGGGTTGAAATTTGATTTTGTTTGAATTCTTGTTTGGACTCTGGGTTTTTACTGGGCTATATCATTGTGTAGAAATATGTTTACAACACAATTTGATTCTATTTACAGATTTAAACTACATGGTGACATGGTAAAGCACAACTGTCTAGACAGGCCCTTAAACATGGTTCTGGCTACCAAATTCCTGTCTGTGTGCACCAGACCAAACTGTTTTGGGAAAAAAAAAAAAAAAGGTGTGGCCTTTCAATGCTGGTAACCAAACCCAGATTGGAAAAAAAAAAGTTTAAAACATGTTTTTCACAGATGATTCAAAATACTGTTTAAATAAGGTGTAAATGAGTTGTTATCACTCTAACTTCTACTTTGTAATATTTTCTAGATTGTTTCTCTATAAAGTTGTTCATAGAATCATAGAATATCAGGGTTGGAAGGGACCTCAGGAGGTCATCTAGTCCAACCCCCTGCTCAAAGCAGGACCAATCCCCAATTAAATCATCCCAGCCAGGGCTTTGTCAAGCCTGACCTTAAAAACTTCTAAGGAAGGAGATTCTACCACCTCCCTAGGTAATGCATTCCAGTGTTTCATCACCCTCCTAGTGAAAAAGTTTTTCCTAATATCCAACCTAAACCTCCCCCACTGCAACTTGAGACCATTGCTCCTTGTTCTGTCATCTGCTAGCACTGAGAACAGTCTAGCTCCATGCTCTTTGGAACCCCTTTTCAGGTAGTTGAAAGCAGCTATCAAATCCCCTCTCATTCTTCTCTTCTGCAGACTAAATAATCCCAGTTCCCTCAGCTTCTCCTCATAAGTCATGTGCTCCAGCCCCCTAATCATTTTTGTCGCCCTCCGCTGGACTCTTTCCAATTTTTCCACATCCTTCTTGTAATGTGCGGCCCAAAACTGGACACAGATGAGGCCTCACCAATGCTGAATAGAGGGGAATGATCACGTCCCTCGATCTGCTGGTAATGCTCCTACTTATACAGCCCAAAATGCCGTTAACCTTCTTGGCAACAAGGGCACACTGTTGACTCATATCCAGCTTCTCGTCCACTGTAACCCCTAGGTCCTTTTCTGCAGAACTGCTGCCTAGCCACTCAGTCCCTAGTCTGTAGCAGTGCGTGGGATTCTTCCATCCTAAGTGGAGGGTTCTGCACTTGTCCTTGTTGAACCTCATCAGATTTCTTTTGGCCCAATCCTCTAATTTGTCAGGATTAGAATACAGGGCCCTCTGTATCCTATCCCTACCCTCCAGCCTATCTACCACTTCTCCCAGTTAGTGTCATCTGCAATCTTGCTGAGGGTGCAAGCCACACCATCCTCCAAATCATTATTGAAGATATTGAACAAAACTGGCCCCAGGACTGATTCTTGGGGCACTCCGCTTGATACCGGCTGCCAACTAAACATGGAGCCATTGATCACTACCCGTTGAGCCCGATGATCTAGCCACCTTATAGTCCATTCATCCAGCCCATACTGCTTTAACTTGCTGGCAAGAATACTGTGGGAGTCCGTATCAAAAGCTTTGCTAAAGTCAAGGAATAACATGTCCACTGCTTTCCCCTCATCCACAGAGCCAATTATCTAGTCAAAGAAGGCAAATAGGTTAGTCAGGCATGACTTGCTCTTGGTGAATCCATGCTGACTGTTCCTGATCACTTTCCTCTCCTCTAAGTGCTTCAGAATTGATTCCTTGAGGACCTGCTCCATGATTTTTCCAGGGACTGAGGTGAGGCTGATTGGCCTATAGTTCCCCAGATCCTCCTCCTTCCCTTTTTTAAAGATGGGCACTCCATTAGCCTTTTCCCAGTCATCTGGGACCTCCCCTGATCGCCAGGAGTTTTCAAAGATAATGGCCAATGGCTCTGCAATCATATCCGCAGTGCATCCGGCCCCATGGACTTATGCTCGTCCAGCTTTTCTAAATAGTCCTGAAACACTTCTTTCTCCATAGATGGCTGGTCACCTCCTCCCCATACTGTGCTGCCCAGTGCAGTAGTCTGGGAGCTGACCTTGTTCATGAAGACAGAGGCAAAAAAAGCATTGTGTAAATTAGCTTTTTCCACATCCTCTGTCACTAGGTTGCCTCCCCCATTCAGTAAGGGGCCCACACTTTCCTTGACCTTCTTCTTGTTGCTAACATACCTGAAGAAACCCTTCTTGTTACTCTTAACATCCCTTGCTAGCTGCAACTCCAAGTGTGATTTGGCCTTCCTGATTTCACTCCTGCATGCCTGAGCAATAGTTTTATTCTCATGAAATAAGCCATTATCTCCTAGCACAGTGTTTTCTTGTGAGTTTCTTTAACTGGGGTAGTCCCTTTACTGATACTTATTTCCATCAGAATGTGCCCATTAAGAGGATTCTAGTGTCCTTTTAAAACATAACAAAAGGGAGAGATACCTTAGAGAGAGAGACCTTACCTCAATTTCTTGGTACGAACTGTTGATCATGGCAATCAGCATGTTGAGCAGAACTACGACCATTGTAACATTGTATATGCCATACAAAACATAGCCAATATTCTCTATGAATTTATGATCATATTTGAGGACAACTGAAGTTACTTCAGATAAACCAAATATTGACCAAAACAAGGTCTTGAAACTTTCTTCAACTCTGTATGAAAGAATCGAGAGGAATGTTACTAATTATATAAATAAATACACAGTTCTTATGACAACCGTAGTAAATAACCTCAAATTTCTGTCTGCGATTTGGATTTTAAAGTTTTGTAAGGGATTTTAGTGTAGATGTTTAATCAAAACAACAAATACAAAAAATCTTTTTCACAGAATGTTTCGTTTCTTCCCATCTTGATTTGACTATACTGGGAGCAGAGGGCACTCAACACTTCACAAACTCAGGCTATGTCTACACAACAGAGATGATATCAGCACTGCTATGTCAGCACAGCTCTGCCAGCACAGTCACACCAGCATAGTCCTTAGAGCAGACACAGCCTACACCAACAGAATGAGTTTCTCTGTCAGTGTAAAAATGCCACCTCCCCAAATGACATTAGCTACATAGACGAAAGCACTTTTTGGTCGACATAGCTGCATCTCCACCGCGGGTTTCGTTGCCATAACTATGTTGGTCAGGGGTGGGGTTTTTTCACATATAGCTATGCTGATATAACATTTCAAACCTCAGGCCCCTAGCGGTTAATGACTAAAATTTTGTATTTCCTTTTGCTTCAACACAACTTCAGACTTACGTTGTAAAAGCAGAGTTTACTTTAGCTCCAAGGTAGTAGGAGTAGAGTATGAACATCCCAATCATAAATGCAAAAAATACCATAATAAAAAGGACCATAAACTTGAAAATGTCCTTTACAGTCCTTCCAAGGGAAATCTGCAAGGGCCCAAAGCTCTCATTTGCAGGCAGGATATATGCAATCCGAGAGAAGCTAAGCACAACAGCTATTGCATAGAGACCTTCAGATATTATCTGTGGATCAGATGGGAGCCATTTGTCTCTGGCTGGAAGACATGAAATAAAGGGGTAAATAATTGAGTTTCTTACTTATCACCATGTTTAGAAAAATATAGCTATAGATTGGGAATTGTCATGCACATATCTGTATCTAGTAAGGACAAACATTTGTGGAGTCTAGTAGTTGATGTTGTATTACAATTAGTTTTTAAGTTATAAGTGAAGAATTTGAAATGTGTACTTTTTCAGTGGAAGTTATAATGTAAAGAGACATGAGGATCTCTTCTAATTGTGTGTATTTACCTCTCTATTGGTAGTTAAGCATGAAAATTAATATGAGGATATACCCCACCACAGTATGAATTTTTTATATTACATATAACATTTATAGATTCTATAATAATTAAAATCACTACTAACATTTGCATGTTTCTGTATGGGATAAAATTTTCCCAAATAAAATTAAAACATAGTAGTATTCTTATATGCACCCTAATCTTTATTTCTCTTTTTTATTATTTAATTTGTTTAGGTATCTATAACAGCTATACAGGACCACTAATCATTGTTCAATCTTTCCTGAGTTTGGACTCTATGTCCCAGTCCATTTTTGTTTAACAACAATAATTATTTTTTATTTATATTGTATCAATGACTAAAGACCGCTGCTTTAATAAGATATAACCACACATATGTTCTGTAAAAAAATTATTTTGTAGGTTAAAAATAATAAAATATCCATAAAAGAGTAACAATGACATCATAAATAAGGATAGTAAAATAAATATTTAATACAAAAACTTTTTTAGAGAAAAATTAACAGTGAATTATGTGGAAATAAATACAATATTAGCTTTTTTCCCCAGTAACATATGTTAATATCATGTCTATATCATCAAAGGTAGTGGGGTGTTTTTTGGTTGTTTGTTTTGTTTTTTAATTAAAGCAATGGAATGGCTAATAATTTATTAGGAGTTATCATGTGCATGATTGAATCAGCAGCAGTGTACGAAAACGGTGGGTGGGGGAGGTGTTTTGGGTTTTTTTATGGAAAGCCAGCAGTGTTGGCTGAGGAACAAATTTCGTTTATTGAGTGCAACAGGCTCTTTAGGTTTTTGTTACAATTTTCTCACCAAAAAAAAACAAGAGAGAGGAGTCTCCCCCTTTCACCCATCAGCCCAGTTCAAATCCCCACTCTTCCTGATTCAGAGCAAGGATGTGAACTCGAGTCTCCCAGGTGAGGGCCCTAGCTACTGGGCTAAGGTAGCCTTGGAAGGATTAGCCAGGGTTGTTCCTGGGGGAGGTTCAGGGTCTGGGACAAATCAGCCATCGACAGCTTGGGGGCCCCACAATGCATTGGTGGCTGGGCTGGAACTGGCGTGGTGCTGGGCAGCCTGCTGCTGCTGGCAGTTGCCGGCACCAACTATGGGGCTATTGTTGGCCATAGCGCCATGGTGGCTCAGGGCTCTGGCTGGGGTGGGGGACTCGCACCGAAACGTGGGCAGCCAAGCTGGGCGCTGTCTCCCCCAAGACTGTGGGTGTGGGGCGGCAGCTGGGACCCCGGGCATGCGGGGCAGCAGCCAGGAGCCCAGGGGTGCTGCAGCACCCTCCGCACCCCTAGTTTCCACACCTATGTCTTCCAGGACCGACCACGCCGGCCAATCGCACTGGCCCGTGGGGCCCCCCAAAAGGCAGGGCCAAGAGCAGTTGCCTCAATTTGCCCTACCAAGGGAGGGCTCTGGGATTAGATTGTTGTTGGTAAACACAGATGTCACCATACACATGCAAACGGACAAAAAAATATTTCCATCAATAATAATCAAAATTAACAAATTGGCAAGAAAGAAAAATGCTTGAGAATTTAAAGTCAAAATCCAATAATTTAGACTTGTGAATTAGGCTTGTTACAAATGGACAAGTGAATGAGCAGTAAAAACAGATATGATATGTTGATTTAAAGATATTTACGTTGTATAATTTGACATCCGATGTTGACAATTTGTGTTTTAATGGTTTATAAAGCTTTAACTCTTTGAATTGCAACATCTACTGTCAATAAACATTTGTCTGACCCTCTCATAATTTCATGCAACTGTGAAATTTTAAATAGATCAAAGTCTAAAAAAATTCTAAAAAATAAACAGCAATATTATCCATCAAAATTATAAAACATAGGAAGTGGAACAGCTTTGACAGGAGAGACTGGAGAAACCCACTTGAAAAAATACCCTATGCCCCAACACTCAGCTGGGAGACCTGGGTTCAAATCCCTTCTCTGTGTCAGGCAGACTGGGGTTTTTAACTTGTGCCTGACGTCCCACATGAGTGCTCCAACCACTGGATATAAAAGAGGGTGGCGCTATATCCTCAGCTGTGTTTTGTGTGGGCCCAAACCAGAAGGCGGCCTCTAAGCAATCCTACGTGATCAGGCTCCACAGGAGAGTTAGGTGAGGGAAAGCTTGGTCTGAGCATCCCACTAGGGCTTAGGCACTGAGCTGCTCAGCAGTGTTGGGACTTAGGCAGTTTTGTGCATGCCCACCAACAGAAATATAGGCACCTACAGGGTTAGCTGGCAGCTGAGCAGGGGGTTTTGAGGATCTAAATTTTGGACTTAGGCACCTAAAGTGGCAGTAAGGCACCTAAATCCCTTGTTGAATCTAGCCCTTGGGGTCAAATTCAGCTCTGGCATAAGCAACTGCATGGACTTCATGGTTATGCCCAGTTAAACCTGAGCTGAATTTAGCCCTATTTTGTTTAGTATTAGTATGTCAATACGTTATTTGTTAAACTGATGGTCACAACAAATACTGTTTAAAAAGCATAAAAAATAAAAACAAATGGGTAGAAACCTTAAGGTAAATATTGTGAAATCAAATAGTTGTAAAGGGTTTCTATGCCTAACAATCCTAACACTGTCCCTTTAAATGAGTGCCCACTAGTTTACTATTTGAAAGTAACATTCAAACTCACCATAAGTGAAATACTCTATTTCGGGTGGAAGTGTGACTACGGAGAGGTCACTCTCCTCAATGTAGTTGTCCACATATTGCTGTGCTTTGGTGGCCTGCAGAAATGCTAGGAGCCTGGCTGTGAAAGCAGCCATGAAAATGGACAACATCCCAAAATCCAGAACATTCCACAGCTGCAAAATATATTCCCTGGGTCCTTCTAGCCAGAGCTCTTTGCATTCTGACCACATCATACCTGCAACAAGAAAGGAATAGAGCCAGTTTAGTCACAACTGAGAATCATTTAACTTTCCTTCCGATAAAATCAGGATTCACCAGGAAGGCACTGAAGTACACATTTTCAGTATTACAGGGTTGCTACCTATATCAACTTTCCTGGGGCTGTCTTTTGGGCTAAAGCTCAGTCATCATACATTGGGGCCGCTACGTTGTAATATAATGACTTCACAGCACAAACATCATGACCGCTCAATGTAATGTTTTTGTTGCAGAAGGTTATCTTTTAAAGGTGGAAGGTTGACCCTTCCAGCGCTCCTCTCCCATTTCACTTATCCATATACTCCTACATAACATGCATAAAATCTCAAACAGGCTGGCAGATGATCAGGCAATGAAAAAAATGTCTAGTAACAAAAACTGACTCATTAGCCCTTTGACACTGAAAGAAGCTGTGATTTTCTCTCGTGCTAAATAAATACTAATTAGCTAATGCATTAACGTCAAGCCATGGAAACACCAGACCTTCTGGCATATACAACGACAGAGGCTTTGTGATCTTGTTTAAAATAACCAGTTTATGTTATTACACTACTGTATCAGTGATATTACACCAACACTATTACATTCTGAAAGCTATGATATTATTGATATGATATCAATGATATTACACCAAACCTGGGTTTCTGCCACAAATGCCAGGATTTCTGAACATTGTGGTATCATTATGAGTCATTAAGTTTTCCATTTATTACATAGTGGTACAATCTTCATCCTCTGAAGAACACAGCTGGTCATTTTACTCTTGCAAATATGTGGAAAATTCCTCATTTTACAATGTTAAATAAAATTGTTCATTACACTGAACATAAGAAGATGTTAGTGATGTTTACTTAACTGAGATAGCTCTTACTGAAAGTAGAAGAAACTAGAAACATGCCTTTCCTACCCATGGCACTTTTGTACACCAGGGGCTGCAAGAGGGGGCAGTGGGGATCTGCTTATGCCAATTGTTGGCTGCTGGAAGTTTTCCTCTGGGAGCCAATGTAGCCCCTGAATACCACTGGAGCCATATACACGGCTGCAGTGGGGGGGTCAGCATTTGGGCCTCGTTTTTTTCTTTTAGAATGTCTATCTACACAGTACAGCTGTCATGGAATTGGAGTGAAGCAGCAATATTCTTTACTTACCAAGCACCCACACCATGATCAGCATCTCTGTCCAAGTGAACTGGGTAGTTTTCACCCTAAAGATCTGTTTAGGGTAATCAGTAACAGTGACGTTTGGGAGGGTTGTGATGCCTTCAAATCTGTCTGAGGCATTGAACACCAGTAGGCCCAAGAAAATAATGAAGGATGCTGCATGTGCCACAAATTTCATAAATGGGCTGCGGAGAATTTTTCCAAGCTGTGAAAGCAAAACAAAACCAGTCCCTCATTTTTAAAAAACATACAGCATTTCCCTTGCATCACACAGCTCAGAAGCATAAAGAGGCACTTACAGATAATGATAGGCTGGAATTAAAGAACCCACTGCTGCTTAGATATACCCTTTAAGTGCACTGAACAGTCATGCAATGGTATCATTCCTGACAGCAGTCTCAAGAAGGCAACCCATATAGGAATGATGTCCTGTCAATCAGCATTTTTGACGTTCCATATTCACATAGAAGACAAGTTGCAGAATAATCCTCTCGGGAATTACATCCACACCATATGAGTATTCACCACTGTTCAGAGAGGACCTGATCTAATGCCCATGGAAGTCAATGCAGAGGTGGATCAGGCCCAGGGAGAAGTGGATAACATAATATCTTCTCTACCAATGCGGGAGATACCCAAAGTTTTCAGGGCATTATTAGCTTACCTATGATAATTAGCTGTATTGAATTCAGCAAATCAGAACATCAAAGCAGTATTTATACGATGCCTGAGGAAAAGCAGACTCTTCTCTGGATGATGTATTCAGAGCATAAAATATCCCCCAGATCAAGACTTTGTAAATGCTTTTTAAAAAACTAATTGGAAAAATTTACACAGCAACAAAGTAAGAAAAACGAGTTCAGAAACATTAACATGTTTAAATGAATTCATTTGGATTAAAAGAGCACACTGTGGGCTAGAGAGTGGCTGTATCAAATGTTGCTGCATTTGGGGTGGGTGGAGGTGCATTACAACAGTGGCAGTGGCCAGCAGCAGTCTTTCTGCAGAAGACAGAGGAAGCAACATGCTTCAGGGAAGCTGAAGGGAAAGCACTCTGGAGCTGTATTTGCTACCCCCTGTACAATGAGGGAGCATGTGATCCAATTTGCAATAACCCGGGGCCACAAGCCAGTAGGGTAAGGGGCAGAGCCATAGCTCACCTTTTCTGAGGAGGGTTCTACTGCCAATATCTGTGGGGGGGGTGTTCTTGTACCTCTGTTGATGCTGTGACTCCCCAGTTTACGCACTCAATGAGTGCCAGTGACAGGGTTCTTGAGGGATGGGCATTCTTTCCCCCTGACCTCCTGTAAGGCACCCACAGAAGAGCAATCAAATTCTGGCCCAAAGACTTCTGGGTAACTATGGACCAGTGTGTCATTTAGATGTTGGCCTAAATTGGAGACTGTGCAGAGATGCAACAGCCCCACACCATTGGGAAATCCAGGAGGGACTGCATCTTAGGAAATACAGTTTCTACCAGTTTCCTCTCCCAGCTTCCTTCCAACCCCTTTTGAAGTGAATAGCACCCTTTGGGATATATACACAGAGCAGTCTCTGAAGACCCCTGCAGATAAGGACTACTGTTACCCCTGTCCTCTCATGAGATATTGCAAGGTTAGTGGTGGTCAGAACTTCTTGTCTCAACTCCTGCACAGTCTCTCAAAGGTGCAGGAATTATCTGGCTCCCCAAATATAGCAAGGGAGTAATACTAGGTTAGTTCAAACATATCAGTTGTATTCAGAGATTCCAAGGCCAGAAAGGACCATTGTGATCATTTGCTCTAACCCCTTGTATAACACAGGCCAAAAAACTCTGCAAAATAATTCCTAGAGCATAGATTTTAGAAAAACATCTAATCTTAATTTTAAAATTTTAAAATTGCAGTGATGGAGAATCTACCATGATCCTTGGTAAATTGTTCCAATGGTTAATTACCCTCACCGTTAAAAATTTACACCTTATTTCCAGCCTGACTTTGACTTCAACTTCCAGCCACTGGATTGTGTTTTACCCTTCTCTGATAGATTAAATAATCCATTATCAAATATTTGTTCCTCATATAGGTCATATAGACTGTAATCAAGTCCCCCCTCAACCTTCTTTTTCTTAAGATAAACAGATTGAGCTCCTTGAGTCTGCCACTGTAAGGCATGTTTTCTAATCCTTTAATGATTCTCTTGTGGCTCTTCTCTGAACCCTCTCCAATTTATCAATAACATTCCTGAACTGCGGACACCAGAACCGGACACAGTATTCCAGCAGCAATCACACCAGTGCCAAATACAGAGAAAAAATAACCTGTCTACTCCTACTTGAGATTCCCGTTTATGCATTCAAGGATCACATTAACTTTTTTGGCCACACCGTTGTACTGGGAGCTCATGTTCAGTGGAGTATTCACCAGAACCCCCAAATCCTTTTCAGTCATTGCTTCCTAGAATAGAGTTCCACATCCTGTAAGTATGACCTACAGTCTTTGTTCCCAAATGTATATATTTACATTTCATAGAATCATAGAATCATAGAATATCAGGGTTGGAAGGGACCTCAGGAGGTCATCTAGTCCAACCCCCTGCTCAAAGCAGGACCAATCCCCAACTAAATCATCCCAGCCAGGGCTTTGTCAAGCCTGACCTTAAAAACTTCTAAGGAAGGAGATTCTACCACCTCCCTAGGTAACGCATTCCAGTGTTTCATCACCTTCCTAGTGAAAAAGTTTTTCCTAATATCCAACCTAAACCTCCCCCACTGCAACTTGAGACCATTACTCCTTGTCCTGTCCTACCACTGAGAATAGTCTAGCTCCATGCTCTTTGGAACCCCTTTTCAGGTAGTTGAAAGCAGCTATCAAATCCCCCCTCATTCTTCTCTTCTGCAGACTAAACAATCCCAGTTCCCTCAGCCTCTCCTCATAAGTCATGTGTCCCAGACCCCTCATCATTTTTGTTGCCCTCTGCTGGACTCTCTCCAATTTATCCACATCCTTCTTGTAGTGTGGGGCCCAAAACTGGACACAGTACTCCAGATGAGGTCTCACCAATGTCGAATAGAGGGGGACGATCACGTCCCTCGATCTGCTCGCTATGCCCCTACTTATACATCCCAAAATGCCATTGGCCTTCTTGGCAACAAGGGCACACTGCTGACTCATATCCAGCTTCTCGTCTACTGTCACCCCTAGGTCCTTTTCCGCAGAACTGCTGCCTAGCCATTCGGTCCCTAGTGTGTAGCTGTGCACTGGGTTCTTCTGTCCTAAGTGCAGGACCCTGCACTTATCCTTATTGAACCTCATCAGATTTCTTTTGGCCCAAACCTCCAATTTGTCTAGGTCCCTCTGTATCCTATCCCTGCCCTCCAGCGTATCTACCACTCCTCCCAGTTTAGTATCATCCGCAAATTTGCTGAGAGTTCAATCCACACCATCCTCCAGATCATTTATGAAGATATTGAACAAAACCGGCCCCAGGACCGACCCCTGGGGCACTCCACTTGACACCGCCTGCCAACTAGACATGGAGCCATTGATCACTACCCGTTGAGCCCGACAATCTAGCCAACTTTCTACCCACCTTATAGTGCATTCTTCCAGCTCATACTTCTTTAACTTGCTGACAAGAATACTGTGGGAGACCGTGTCAAAAGCTTTGCTAAAGTCAAGAAACAATACATCCACTGCTTTCCCTTCATCCACAGAACCAGTAATCTCATCATAGAAGGCGATTAGATTAGTCAGGCATGACCTTCCCTTGGTGAATCCATGCTGACTGTTCCTGATCACTTTCCTCTCATGTAAGTGCTTCAGGATTGATTCTTTGAGGACCTGCTCCATGATTTTTCCGGGGACTGAAGTGAGGCTGACTGGCCTGTAGTTCCCAGGATCCTCCTTCTTCCCTTTTTTAAAGATTGGCACTACATTAGCCTTTTTCCAGTCATCTGGGACTTCCCCCGTTCGCCACGAGTTTTCAAAGATAATGGCCAATGGCTCTGCAATCACAGCCGCCAATTCCTTTCGCACTCTCGGATGCAACTCGTCCGGCCCCATGGACTTGTGCACGTCCAGCTTTTCTAAATAGTCCCTAACCACCTCTTTCTCCACAGAGGGCTGGCCATCTATTCCCCATGTTGTGATGCCCAGCGCAGCAGTCTGGGAGCTGACCTTGTTAGTGAAGACAGAGGCAAAAAAAGCATTGAGTACATTAGCTTTTTCCACATCCTCTGTCGCTAGGTTGCCTCCCTCATTCATTAAGGGGCCCACACTTTCCTTGGCTTTCTTCTTGTTGCCAACATACCTGAAGAAACCCTTCTTGTTACTCTTGACATCTCTCGCTAGCTGCAGCTCCAGGTGCGATTTGGCCCTCCTGATTTCATTCCTACATGCCCGAGCAATATTTTTATACTCTTCCCTGGTCATATGTCCAACCTTCCACTTCTTGTAAGCTTCTTTTTTATGTTTAAGATCCGCTAGGATTTCACCGTTAAGCCAAGGTGGTCGCCTGCCATATTTACTATTCTTTCGACACATCAGGATGGTTTGTCCCTGTAACCTCAACAGGGATTCCTTGAAATACAGCCAGCTCTCCTGGACTCCTTTCCCCTTCATGTTAGTCCCCCAGGGGATCCTACCCATCCGTTCCCTGACGGAGTCGAAGTCTGCTTTCCTGAAGTCCAGGGTCCATATCCTGCTGCTTACCTTTCTTCCCTGTGTCAGGATCCTGAACTCAACCAACTCATGGTCACTGCCTCCCAGATTCCCATCCACTTTTGCTTCCCCTACTAATTCTTCCCGGTTCGTGAGCAGCAGGTCAAGAAAAGCTCCCCCCCTAGTTGGCTCCTCTAGCACTTGCACCAGGAAATTGTCCCCTACGCTTTCCAAAAACTTCCTGGATTGTCTATGCACCGCTGTATTGCTCTCCCAGCAGATATCAGGAAAATTAAAGTCACCCATGAGAACCAGGGCGTGCGATCTAGTAGCTTCTGTGAGCTGCCGGAAGAAAGCCTCATCCACCTCATCCCCCTGGTCCGGTGGTCTATAGCAGACTCCCACCACTACATCACTCTTGTTGCTCACACTTCTAAACTTAATCCAGAGACACTCAGGTTTTTCTGCAGTTTCATACCGGAGCTCTGAGCAGTCATACTGCTCCCTTACATACAGTGCTACTCCACCACCTTTTCTGCCCTGCCTGTCCTTCCTGAACAGTTTATAACCATCCATGACAGTACTCCAGTCATGTGAGTTATCCCACCAAGTCTCTGTTATTCCAATCACGTCATAATTCCTTGACATCACCAGGACCTCCAGTTCTCCCTGCTTGTTTCCAAGGCTTTGTGCATTCGTATATAAGCACTTGAATTTAACCACATTAAAATGCATTTGTCCTTACACCTAGGTTACCAAGTGATACAAATCACTCTATATCAGTGACCTTTCTTCATTATTTACCACTTCATTATTTACCACAAGTTTGTCATCTGCACACTTGATCAGTGATGATTTTATGTTTTCTTCTGGGTCATTGATAAAAATGTTGAATAGTATAGAGCAAAGAACGGTATTAATTATGACATGAGACAAAATATTATGTGAGATTTTAAAACCTCATCCGAAGTTCTGCATTAACAGCAATATCCTTTCACACGAAAGCCAGTGAATTTAGTGAGTGAGGAGTCTAAAGTAGTTTCCCTATCTCAGGGTTTTCCTGGACCTGAAGTCAGGGGTCAGATTCAGTGAGCTGAGCAGTAAAGTATGCACTATATTGACATTCACTAGTTATACAAAGGACTTTAATAGCCCCTGTTTACCTGACCTTTATAAAGCATTTTTAAATCACAGTATTAAGCAGTTGATCTGTACTTCCAATATTTTGATTTCACATGAGCATTCAAAAAGAGCCAAGTGTGTCTGGCAGTGGGAATTAAAGCTCATGGAGAAATGTCATTTTTTCCATATCAGACATTAAAAAAACACCTGATCATGAGTTTACATGACATCAGTCTACCATGCAGCTATAATGGGTACCTTTACAAGAGCTCGTCAAGGAAAGTGACATTTCAGAAGATAATCTGAGTAACAATTATGCTATTTCATAAAGATTAATCTTTAAAATAAACAAATGACCAGGGAAAGAAAACATCAGATTCCTTTTAAAAATGTATGGGGTGTGCAGACTCTTATCACCTCTTAAAGGTGAACTGCAAAGCAAAATATAAACTCAAGTGGAACACAGATTTCTGTGCTGGATACCCCCTCTGAATGAGCTTGTGGGGTAGGGGCCAGGAAGACATTCAGCACAGAAGTAAGTTCTAAGTAAACTTTTAAAAAAACTTCTCTCTGTGAAAATCCTCTTTTGTTCTTCCTGGTTTACTGAAGATATATCAGAATGCATCATTTGGTTGACATCACACATATCATGGAATGAATGGATTTCAGTGAGACTGCTGGTATTTGTGTTATAACAACATCAGTGAACCTAGAAACATCAGATGATTTCACCAAGGGAAAATATAAATGTGAAATGATTTGTTAAAAATGTTGTTCTTGTCTGAATGCCCTCAAATTGTGGTTAGAAAACTGTCCTTCGTTAAGTTTTGCTTTGCAGTTCACCTTTATAAACAATCTGACCTAACAGTTTAGCAACAGCGAGTATGTCATTTAGAGCTCAGTCCTGTACCGCTGAAGTCAATAGGAGTTTTGCTACTGAATTATACAAGAGCAGAATCAGATCCCTAAGATGCCAACTGAGAGGAACTGATATAGAGCTTTTTGGGCCACTGTAGGAAGTGGTCATTAGCAAAAAGTACATCATACTTGTACAAGTGCATAGCTGGTATCAAGGAGAGAATCTGACCCATAAATATTAAAACAAACATAAATATCATGGAGCTTATTACACATCTTAGTGCTTAAATACAATTTACGTGCACTTAGAATAACATTTCCTCCTCATACTTGATCAGTCTTATCCCCTCTTTAAAATAACAGAATTTGGTTCAAGACTGAGATTTCTAAAAAATCTGAATAATCAGTTAAAATTCTGGTGATACAAAACTAGGAGTGGAAGATTACGTTTCAGATGACAGTAACTGAAAAGGAACATCTAGACCAGCACAAGGTGTTTAATATGTAATTTATAAAATATCTGTACCCTGCTACATGGTGCAATCCAGTAACCAATGGCAAGAAGTGGAAGGCCCAATGCAACAACCAGCACAACGAGACACTTGATAGCAATGGTCTGTTCCCGTAATCCTGACAGATTTTCATACCAGATAGTCAACAGCTGTTGCTGACAGTTTGGATGGGCCACAAACTGTCGATAAAAAGAAAGAAAATCAAGGTTCAATACGATTTATAATAAGAATTATATAAACATTACATGCAGGATCAGCAAATAAATAAATAACAAGTATTAATTTAGATCTTTAAAAGCATGTTGTTTTTGTCCTTTCCTAACATTTTGGTTAATTTATAAATAAACAAAAAAGAGAAGGAATAGAAACTGAAGTGCTGATGTGAATTAATGAGCCAAATTCTGCATTTGGATGCACAAGTGGGCAGCGCTCATTAAATTTAACAGAAGCCTCACATCTAAAACCAAGTTTGGCTCTACAGATTATGGGCTAGCTCCTTCAGGAGCTGAGTGCTCTCATGCATTTTCACAAATTGCTCAACCCTAGCAGACCAAAATTTTTCCAATCTATATGAAGTGTTTCTATGGATCCCAGAACTTTCATATCTGAAACTAACTCACCTGTAACCCTGCCCCCTGCCACTCCCACACACAAAGAATCTAATTTCTTTTTGAAAACCTAATTACTTTTTGACAGCATTAAGCACCTCTTTCACCAACTATCCCATTTTAAGTTTAAAAGAAGAAATATAAAGAAGAAAGATTATAATATAAGGTTTGGAACATTCCTACTGAGCAGCAGAAGCTATATTGTAATGTGTATTATAGTGGCACTGTATCGTTATATTAGTCTCAACAAGGCATTGTACCACTACTCATCTGACTTCTTGACCATATGGAAAGCAATCACAGAACATTTCTAACAAAACATCCCAATGGAATGGAATTCTGTGGAAAACAAACAAAAATTGCCACGATGTAATATGAGGAAATTCCATTTTGGGAATCTGTTGAAAATCCACTCTCCTGGTCTATGATGCTACCAGAACTCTCAGTTTACTGTATTACATGCTTTGTTATCAATTATTCTAAATATTTAAAATAGATATCACAATCTATTGTCATGTTTCCTCTGTTCTTACAGAAATTCATGACCTCAACAATATCTTAGCTGAAAGATACTATTAAATGGCGTAGTTTGATGGTCTTCCAAAAATGATGCTTTCTCTTGTATTATTTTAAAACTTGAAAGGTTCTTGAATATAGAGATTGTTACCACTATGCAGTTTTATGCTATAATTACATTTATTTATTAATGTACTAGTTTAACTGAGCTGTTAACATCATAACAACACCTTACAGAGGCTCAAATGAGATCTGAGAGGTGTATGTTTTAACTAAAAATACTAAAATTTGTTGTTGTTAGTTACAGTAGATCATCTGATTTTGAACAAATCTCTCATATGGGAGCTTTCTTTTATTTTTGGTGACCAGTGCACATTATTTGTATTTGTTCATTTAGATTGCAGTAGTGCTCACAAACCCCAATCAGAATTGGGACACCTTAGTGTTACATATTGAACAAACACATAAGGAGACATGGTCCCTGCCACAAAAGATCTCAGGTCAATATTTTTAAACTTAAGTGCTTAAAGTTATGCACCTAAATCCACATTTAAGCATTTAAATAAGAGTGGCCTGATTTTCAGAGGTGCTGAGTATACACCGCTCCCATTAACTCTAAATCTTTAAAATCAGGCCACTTATTTAGGTGCCTGAATAATGAGCTTACATGCCTAACTTCCAGAGACTCAAATGTGTACATTTGGGATGGGATTTGCAAATCCTTCTGTGCTGGCCTCACTCTCATTGAGGTGAATAGTAAAACTCCCATGCCATTTCTAAGTGCTTTTGAAAATTCCACCCTTACGCTTTAGAATGTAAAAAGGCAAAAACTAGACAAAAGGTAAGGCAAAGATGTACAGCATACAAGTGAAGCGATCAGTGTGCTAATAACAGACAGAAACAGACAGACAGAGAAATGCTATCAAGTTGAGTGTAGGAACTTGCTTCTCCCAGTTAGCTAATAATGATAATTGTTATTAATAAATACAACATCAGCACTGGGTTGCTTGTCAGATGCTATCATTCATGCAAGGTTTACTGTCTTGTAGTTTCCACAGCCTTTTTTTCTGGCTGTCTGAAAGTTTAATGGAAATAATACATGAAAGCTTTAGATCCAAAACTGAGACATCCTATGGAATCTATCTCCTGTTAATGTACAGGGATCTTTCTTCTTTCAGGTACATTATATTTACCTGCAACAAGTAGGTGCATGCACACATTACTTTCATTAGCATCAGTGAAAGATTCACATATACATAGAGAAGGTTATTCACCAAAAGTTAATTCTACATTAAGACAAGCTGTGACTAACTCTGAGTGGAGTATTGTACTTAATTCCATTTCAATATTTATTACAAATAAACACTGATACAAGAAATAGAAAATGTACTGTAAAAGAAAGACACTTGCATTTGTTTTGATAACTTTTAAACTTTAGTCTATTAAAATCAGTTTTGTTTTGATTTTGTTTAAAAGTGAGTTTGTTTAGCCCTATTTTTTAAACCTTGACTTTGTATTTTATATTATTGTGAAGATGTACAGTAAGACCACCACATAGTGAGAGAGTGGTGTGAAGTTGTGCACAAGACTAAGCAGGGTGAGCACAAAAGTAAGAGCATCCTCATTGCTCTAACACTGATTCCTTTTCTAGTTCAGGGCAAGTCTGACTTTTAACCTCAGTTTCTCCCTTTGTAAAATGAAGATAATAAATAGCATTTATCTGAGACAGACTGTCTCACATGGTGTTGTGACAATTAAATTAATGTTTGTCATCCACTTTAAAGATAAGAAGTACTATACAAGAGCAAAGTATGCTTACTCTGTAATATTTATAAAGTAGTCAAATTGGCCAATACTTGTGTAACAAAGTGAGAGTATTTTAAAATATTTCAGTTTCCCCCATACTTTACATTGCTACCCAGTTGGGAGAAAATGATTAAGTTTGATCTCAGGGCGGACTAAGAGACACAGGTTAACTCCCTGTCTGGGTGCAATGAATATAGTCATTAAGAAACTGGCCAAAACCATCTCAGATCATAAGGGGTCTAAAGAGACAATGCAAGCTCCAATGACTCCTGGAGTGACACTCTCAAGAGGGAAGCTGAGCAGAGACCCCCATCTTGAAAAGAAGGGACTGGGATGTGTGAGGTGGGGGGGAGAGGGATAAGTGTGGGCACTGGAAGAAACTTGAGCTCTCTCGCACATGGGGACTGATTAAAGAGGAAGTCTGAGAGACAGAGCCTGAAAATGGAGTTCACTACAGATTGGCTGGTGAGTTGTGGCTTGACCAGAATGGACTATGCTTTAACCTTCATTTCTCTATGCTAACCTAAGGACTTCCTTTGCTGTGTTCCACTTCACTAATAAATCCTGTTTTGAAAATGTTGTTGGATGTCACTAGAAGACTGGCTGGGGTGCACTAGTCCCCGAAGAGTGTACAAATCTCTCTCAGGAGTCTATCTCAGTTGGACTCACTGGGCAGAGCTACTGGAGGTGGTGAGGCTGTATGGCCTATCCTGAAAGAAGAGTAAGACTCCCTGGGGAGTCAGGCACACTAAAGGGGTTCCTCCAAAAGACTGTGCAAAAGCTGGGGCATAGCACAGATCCTGCCAATCTGTGATAACTTGCCACTAAATTAGAAAATTATAGGAGTCTTCACAATTTTTTAAAATTGTTCTGATAACACCATACAGGACTCCTGTACAAACGCTAGCTAATTCTCTATGTAGCTCAGACAGATTGGTTCAAACTGCATTTTGCAGTTTGAACTGAGTTCCTCAAACTAAATAAATATAATGTAAGCACTGTACATCCACTTTACTGTTCTTTGTTCTCTGTTGAGATCATAAGGTACCATTCATTGTTGCTTGCCAACTCTCTTGCAAGCTAACTTCCACTTAATGTCAAATATCATTTAAAATGCTTATAGTAAAATAGGGCAGACTTCTGAACAAAAATTAAATCAAGACACAGGTAATGAAGACAAGGAAATCGCTAATCTCTGAGGGAGAAAAATGTTAATTTGATGCAGTGGCTTTAAACAGGGAAGTAATCTTCACCTTTTAATCCACTTTGCTAGAAAGAAAATTCTCTAAATATGCTGGTATGTGACTCATGTGCCAACTAAATCACATATTAAAGCATTTTCTGCTTACAATGGAATGGCAGATCATAAGCTAAAAGTCATTAAGAGCTTAATGTACATGTGGACTCTTAACTAACCGTCACCATTTAGAAAAGTGAGGGTCATCCTGAGTTAATTAGCAACCTGGCCCATTTTGAAAAAATAAACACACAAATATTATTTTATTTGTAATTTAGCTTGTTTTGAGTTCTAGTTTTCTTGTGCTCTTTCCTTTTGCAAGAATAAGCCCCACTCTTTGCACTGATTGAGCCATTGTTCACCAGCAGAGTGCAGATCCAGAAGCAGGGGCACCCAGCAGGAAGCAGCAGGTTCACCTTGAGCAGCAAAGAGAGACTGAAGTCAACAGGTTACTTCTAGTTCCAAAACTGTATTTAAGACAGCCCTAAAAAATCTTGGGGAAAGGGGAAGTAATACCTGCCCCACCCCAAATATCTGGGGGACTGGGAAGAAACAGCCCCTCTACTCAAATAGTTATTAAGCTAGGGAGGTACAGAGGTCCTGGTCCTGGAGAGTGAAGTCCCCCAGCTCTAATATGCTTCTAATACGCATCCACAGCCAAGTTTAGCCACCCAGTAGGCTTGTTGCTAATGGTCTCGCAGCATTTTGATTTGACAGTAAGAGGAAAACTGCCCATATTATCTATTTCTTCACAGACAAAAGAAAGGACCAAGTGGGGAAGAGAGCACTGTTAACGGTTATGCAAGTTCACTTCAGGAAGCAGATGAAAGGGCTGTCAAGAGGAGATTAGAGGTGAATTTAACCATTGACAACTGCATTATCTCCCCTTTATTCTATTTTATGTAGGTTTTTAAACCATGTTCATCACCACAGTGTCTAACCACTTTTCAGTAGTGCATTAAGCAACATGACTATACATCTGTCATTTGTTGTTTGTTCTCTTATCCTCTCC